TATATAATTACACACACACATATATATATATATATATATATGTAAATATAAATATATATATACATATATATTTATGTATATATATATACATAGATGCATATACCCGAGCGAATGATGTGGATGAAGCCCGTGTGGACGGTGTTCTTCTTATCATGGCTGTTGCCTGGTCAGTATGCTGTGGCTCAGTTCTTCGGACAATGCGTGCTTTGGTGCTGGCAGGCCGTAGCACCTCAACAGGTGGAGATGTATAAATTCTCAGTCGTCGCTGGTCTCATTGCCGGTTGTTGCGTGGCAAGTATAGCCACTGCCATCTTCAGCGTTTTCGATCTTCAAGGACTATCATGGGGTTGGGGTCCTTAAATGAAATGTTTTTTGTGACATTCGACCCTCAAATAAACAAATCATCCATTCGTATCTGAAGGCTTCCAGTTTCGACGCCTATGACTACCGCAAAGATTTTCTATGTACGAGACGCAATTCAGATATAAACCAGATGAGTAGTGATTTACAGGGGCCAGGCGCTGTGGCTTTTATTTGATGAACAACCAGTACGAATAGAAGGAATTCAAAGGTAAACAATGTACAAGAAATAATGGAACACTGGCTCTGCAAGACAGATTCTTATAAAGCTGGTCGCTCTTTATTTTTAAAACTGTAGGTGAACCTGGGAGGGCATTGCCTCAGCTAGTAGCGTGGATCCGTTAAATCCTCGGCCTATTGTTTCCTCCAGGCACTGAATTCTATTTCCTTAACGCTGAATTTACTCGCCGTTTCCTATTGAAAGTGCGTCGAAATGTTAAGTGGTGATTTTCTGTATACTCGTATATGTAAGGGGAACGGTCGCTCATGGTTCTTACGAAAACGGCAGCAGTGCAGCACAGCAGTATGAGCAAAAAATGAACTCCTCGATTTATCCATACCTGGAACACCAGTGGGAGTGTATTCTCGTCTGGTACATCTATTCTGCGGAAATTGCGCCTGAGTATGGTACTAGTACCCACGTCCGTATATACATTCTCTCCATTGACCTTATGGCCACCCACCCAGTCTTCGGATTTGGATATTTGCTCATCCCAATCATTGCTCGAAAAGACAACCAGCACTGCGTTTTCTGACATACGCTTGTGTATCGATTCGAGTAACTTTGTAGGATTTGAAAGTCGGCAGATATCAGACACGATGACCAAGTCGAAATCTGTAGGTAGACAAGATATATTAAAAGCAAATTAATATTTGATAATATACTCAAACATCTACTTGAAATCAGGCCAGCAAACAGCACGGCCAGCAACATGCACTAAACATGAAATACAGCAAATACCAAATTACACAAGTATTCGATTCTGACACAATTGTATAACATAAGGCGAAAACGACGACCGTTTCGTGAGCAACCAGCATTCCTCCCACGAGGTATAAGTGTCAATTATGAGCGGACCTTACCTGTTAAACGCTCGTACATGTTATTGGGGTTGGTTTGTAAAAGCGTAACCTTCTTTGCCAAGTCATTAGTGATTGCACACGTGCTTGCCCGAAGCTCATTGAAGTTTTGTATGTCTCCCTCTTTCGTGGTAACGTAACGGAATACACCCCCTTCTTGTAATCTGTGGCCAACCTGTATGGGCAAAGACATTACAGTGTTGTTAAGTGCGTTTGTTTTTGAAGTATGCATCTGATGTCAAACATTTGGTGAATGAAACGTTTGATACACAATATACACTTTTTATGCTTCTGTGCACGCAACTATGATTTTGTAATGTGGGATGCCACAAACGTTAAAACACGAGCACGATCAAGAACATAAATAAACAATGTACAAGTACGTAGGGAAAGGAGGATATATCAAAGACTATACAATAAGTGTGAATAATCGAAATTGAAAAGCATGCGCAGATTGCGTGATACGTCTGTAATATATAATGATATAAATAA